GAAAACAACATTTGTATCTAACAGACCTATCAATCATCTTAGCGATTTGCCGATCCGAGAATCCAGCTTGCTTCGCCTCGAGAAGGAGTTCCACAGATAAAGACGATAACTGAATTCCCAACAATTTAGTGAACAACTGACTTGAATAAATGCAAATATACTGTCACCTACCGATTCTTTCTGCAGCTTATGATGTATTTCCACAATATTATGCATTCTATACAGGAACCATTTATCAATGTGCGTCAGTTCGTAGACTTTATCGACATCGAAATCGCCATAGAACATACCACGGGCGATTGCAAACATGCGCTTGTCTGTAGGATTCGAGAGGTCCTAAAACCGCACCTTTCCAGAAAAAGTACGTGAAACTTCTCATCGCAAAGTTGAAGCCAGTCATGTAAGAGATAGCCTTTAATGCTACCAGGAGTCCAGTTGTGTTCGGAAACCCGGACTGTGAAGATTGACCTGAGTGTAGAGGACATCAACCAGGAATGGAAGATGCCCAAAACTTAGCGAAACTTGCTCCCATTTGAAAAAGTTCTAGCAAGGTAAAGAAGTGTTATACATAGTAAGGGTAGTAACCTCAACTGATACATCAACATCCACCTACATTCTTCATCAATGAATCACGCTACCTAGCCATCAATCCAAGAAAATGAAGCACATGTTTTACGTCTTACCTTATTGGTGTTCGAATATACAGTAGCGGTCAAAGTGTTCGCCTGAGCGGTTTTTATGCGTTTCCCAGCAAGTGTTGAAGAGTGAATCAAGATTTCTTTCAAGTGCTTTGAATTCTTAGAACTCAGAGATTCCAAAGAAATAGACAGAGCATATCCAAATTTGGAGGGGCAGATAAGGCAAGGCAAAACAAAGCTTGGACAAATCGTTTCGACGAAGACTCGACCGCAACTGCATATCTGATCTTACGTACTAGAAGGGAGCGTACGCCTTAAACCTCAAAGTTTCGTGACAAAGAAGATTTTCCAGTCCCTGGATGACACATCTATGGAAAATTAACCCCAAATGGTCACCTCATTTGTCGGTTTTCTCAGGAAAGCATTTGGCGAGAAACCGTCCGCATGATCGCTGACCATCCTAAGCGCTTTCTGGAACGCTTCTTCGAACGACCTACCGATCCCCATCACCTCGCCGACGGACTTCATTGAGCTGCCGATCTGGGTGAAATTTAATCATAACTTCCCGATAATAAAAAGAAATAAAAATTGAGGAAAGCTACCTGTTGGCTCACTCGAGCAAACTTGCCGAGGTCCCAACGAGGGATTTTCACTACGCAGTAGTCTAGCGACGGCTCAAAACATGCCGTTGTGGTACCTAGAATAATAAGAGTAACCACTCTGAAGTTACTTTCCCAGAGATCACAGGAAAGGAAATTTCAAAACATGTTCCCTGTCAGAGATTCAACAATAATGCTCAGACCATCTCTTTCAGCCGACTTCCGCTGGTTTTTCTAATCTCCATTCAATCTGCTCACCTGTCACACTATTCCTTATGACTGGAAGTTTTTGACCCAACGCCAACTTAGCTGCCACATATGCAAGCGGATATCCGGTCGCTTTTAGAAGCTACATGCATGTACGCAAACGAGACAGTCTAGCATTCACCTCGATGATGTAGTACTGAAAGCGGTCAGAAGTGATGTTATATTTGAACAGATGCAGTTGTTTTTGAGGATCAAAAAACATACCGTCAGCGAGGATGGATCCAAGGCATACTGTATATTACACTCTCCAATTATTCATTCTAGTGTCGAATTCACTGTTCATAGGCGCATTGTTTCCGTTAACATGTGTGCTTCTTTGTCGGGACAGTGTTTGAGACTGGTGCAACCTGATATTATGACGATAACACAGTAAATTTTTATATGGCTGCATCAGATCTATAATTTTTTCTGTTCAAGTCTTGATTTCAATTTGAAGCCGAATAGCGCCCAGGTCTTTCGACTATTTATTTAGGCCATCTAATTGAACATTATAGCAAAATCCCTATAGTTCCAAAATTCTCACCACAACAGATTCTCCTGTGTGAATACCCAAAGGATCGATATTTTCCATGTTACATACAGTAACGCAGTTATCGTATGCATCACGAACAACTTCATATTCGATCTGAGATGGAGATGGCTTATCGAGTCACTAAGTCCGACGCTCCAAAAAATTGACATTGAAAAGAAACCGAAAACGCTTTCCATCTCCCTTGAGACTCTTATCGATTAGCACTTGATCTGAATGTGCAAGTGCCTGTTGAGCGATCGCCACAAGCTCAGCGCGATTTGTTGCAAAACCTGAACCGAGCCCGCCCAAAGCGTAAGCAGCTCGAACCAGCACTGGATATCCAATCTGTAACACTTCAGTTGGCAGCGGCGGACAACTGGTAATAAATAGCTTCAACATACCTTTTCAGCTGCCTCCACGAGCGCCATCTAAAGTGGTTGCGGCATGACTCGGTGCCACCTGCTCACCAATGCTTCTCACTTCCATGTTGAATCTCTCACGATCTTCCGTGTTCATGATGGTCTGGATTGGTGTGCTTCATAGACCCTTAATAACTCGCTCAGCAAGCATCAACAGAGAAATATGACATCGAAGATAACCAACCTCTCAATAATTTGGACCATCGTATAAGAGAACTGATGCGTGAAAAATCAGGTAGCAGAGTATGCCGCGGCACTTTTCGAACTAGCATAATTCTTAGAGAATGCTCGCTAATAGAACGAGCTGGAGTATGAAGACAGCATTCAAAAACAACAAACAACATGCAAAATCCTTTGGAAAAATTCACCTCAACTATTCCGTAGCTTTTTGAAACATCATTTTGTTAAATGGTCATGGCACAATTTAACTCGCAGTCTGCCGCTCAAAGTGTACAACAAATGCCGGTTGGCGTCGTTTCTTTTGATCAGCAGCTGAGAGAGGACGAGAGATTATGAACGCCAGAGTGTAGTTTGATCCATGGGGATGAAACTTACATCTGTGACGTATTCTTTTGTAATCGGCAAGAAATAAGCTAAATTCTGCCAAACCCTTGGACGTTTGCCACAGTTGCCACTTTGATTTGATAAGGTACCGTGCGTAATTTCCTTCCTCTTCAACGCTTTTAGCGCCTGCAAGATGAAGTTGAGAAATTTCAATTATTACAATGACTGGACGCGAATTCACCTGAGCTCCTGAAGTAGTCAAATTCTCCAGCTTGCCCAATTGTCAGGCCTCCAGAACCGAGCACGAGAACCTTTCGCTGCTTGCGTATTCGGTAGGAGGAATCGTAACGGATAGACGATGTGAGCAACTCGTCCACGCTGGAACAAATATACTGCTGTTGAATATCCTCTGTTACAAAATGTTAATATTAAAATTATTGAAAGATAGAAAACCGCCCAACATTACAGAAAAATGGAGGTAGTCCACATCTCTTCTGCATTTTTAATTTTACGATGAGTAACTTCATTAAAGGAATAATTGACATTATTGGTGTGAGAGGAACAATCTATGCAGATCCTAATCCTTCAGTGGGGGGCCGTTTTGAGTCCGAACATTCCCCTCCATTCCAGAGCTAACCACGCATTCGCGTGGCATAGCGTAATAACTTCATCGTAAGGCTATAATTGTTCCAAGGTCTACGTTGAAACGGCGCACAGACTTGCTCTAGATGGCCCTTTCTACAGTAGCATTGATGCGTCAAAATAATTTGTTAATGGTGATGTACGCCACTTACCGCTACTAATCAAGAACCCCTTAACTAGCGCATTTCTACCCTTCATATTCTCAATCCGGGTGAAATTCTGACGGGATACTGTACCACCCAAAAAGCCCGTCGCTGTCTTCGCCGCGCCGGCAACGTGGGCCTCCGGACCGCACCCTCCATCTTACCTAGAGTGCAATGCATGCAAAGAGCTTAGCAATCCCCGAGCTAAAAGTGTCGAAATACATCATTTCGGGAAATAAAACCAGAACTGAAGTCGCTTAGGAGTGATTATCTACAAAGCGCCTAAGCTAGCAGACTGAAGGGTTGTGACGTCATTTTCTTATACATTACACAAATATATTTCGTTTAATCTACCGGTACACTCACCAGAAATGCACACCCTTTTTCATCGAAACAATTGCTTCTATGAAGACATCGAAGAGGAACTCACAATCAGCTGGACCACCGGTGTGTTCCGGCAGATAAGAACAGTGTGACATCTAGTAAGGGAGTAATGACGGATAAGCGGGCTGCTTATGGGAGACCCGGATATGATAGAGCACAAATACTCATTGCTATGCCCCTGAAGAAGTGTTTGATTCGTAGTACGGTAGACGCAGGTCGACGATTTTACAAATGCCTTCATTTGTACCGTCATTCTCATTTGTGAATAACGGTCGCCAACCGGCTGGCAACGACGTTGTGTCCACAGCGAATCCATGATTCTGTGATGTGATAAAGCAATGTCCTGTTGCCTTGATGGGTGCACGGTTGATTGTGACCTCGCTTTATCCGTATCTAGAATTTCACCGTAATTGTTCACGTCAGACACCCAGAAGACACGAAAAAATGAAATTGTTTTCCGTGAAGTATATTGGAAGACCGAAAAAGGGGAAATATATCACTTTATTATGTGAGGACTGAAACAGCAAACATATGGAAGTACGTAAAAAAACCAACTTGAGCTTGTACGTTTTAGCTCCAACAGCACGCGCTAACAGCTGATGACCTAAGCAGATACCAAACACCGGCTTCGTCTTCTTCTTCAGGAATTCGCTCAAGCGATTTACCAGCTCAGTACACCTTTCTGGATCACCAGGACCGTTTGAAAGGAACAGTCCGTCAAATGCTGTAATGAGGACAAAAAGTCATAGAATACGTAGATGTAAAAAAAAAATATCACGATCCTGTAACTACAAGTCGTTTTTTGGATACTACAATACATATATCAAAAATGCTATAACATTTAGTAGTAATAGTAATAGTAACAAAAGATTCACTACGGATTGAGCACCAGTCTTGAGCACACCCAGGAAACAACAGATACTCCACGTAGATCTATTCCATCATTTTTGATGATAAAAAATGCCGCTACAGTAACCCGCGTAGCACACGGATAAATGGTGTATTCTCGTCAACTTCGTGGTAGGCGACCATGCGCTCAGTACATATCGAAGTAGTTTCCATAAGTATGGTAAAGTTTACCTTGTCCTTTGACTTCCCCTCACCTTCATTTTCAAATGGGTGATCCCACGGTACAACTTTCACGCGCACTCCTCTTTCCACCATATACATCGAATTTGATTGTTTTTCATACCGCAATCCACCGCTAGAACGGTAATTGCACCAGAACCAAACGTCTGTGGTGACTGAAAGAGATAAAATGAGAACGATTACTGAGAAAGTTTCATACATATTCTAAGAATGGTAATCAAAGCGTTGCTCCACCTTTCGTGACACAGCTGCCACCAAGTTGCTTTCATTAATATCACGAAACGGATACGCCGACGGTTCGTCGCTTTCAATAATTATCTGCAAATCATCATCACCTGACCTTTCCGAAATGCAGTCTTCATGACCTCCAAAAGCTTACCTTAGCTTTCATTGTTCCTACTTCCCTTATTTTCTTTGTAAGTTTTCTTACGTCGATACCTGCCAATCCTGGAACGCCAGCCCTCTGCAAGAATGAGCTCAGCGACTCCACGGCTTTCCAATGGCTGTGCTCATTTTCAGGACATATTCTGAAGTTTGAAAAATTACACTTTAGTAACACACAGCCGAAAGATCAAGACCCTTTTTTTTCAAGAACAAGGCAAAATTGATTCTAAAGCATTCAAATTCGCGGTTCATTGCCGATGCCGAATAACCGGCTCACCATGTATACGTGTAAGCTGATAAGTTTAGCTGAGTAAGAGTGGAACGGTGCCCCGGCAGCGTAGCTTGTAGCGCACTTTCCCGGTAAGCGAAAGGTTTGGGTGCGGGCCGCCTTGGGCAAGTTTTGTTCATAACCCAGCATTCTTGTGAAGATCAAGGATTAATCATGCAACCAGAAAATTGACTAATTTTGCGCTATGGCTAAATGTAAGTTAATATCGGAACTTGTTGAGAAGAAATCGTATCGTGGAAATACTGCGGAATTTTCTGCAAGGGCAGCTTGGTACGGAGAAGGAATTCAGCAGCAAAAAAACCAACAAAACAAAAACAACAAAATAAGCAGAAATAAATCCGTAAATTATACAACGTACTTGTCTACAATCAACGCCGCTGGCCAAACACGGCTGCTCTCGAAATGCTTTGGCAATCCTAATGAATCAATTTCTGAAGGATTTGGAACTCCATAGTTTCCAATCATAGGATAAGTTAGTGTGAGAAGTTGTTCGGCATAACTAGGATCTGTGAGCGATTCCACATAACCGACCATACCCGTTTGGAAAACTGCAAGGCTCATTTTTGTGTTAAACAACAAACATTGAATGAAAGCAAGAACAAATAGA